CAAGATGGCGGCTGCCTGTAGTGGCGACCCGCGACCATGGAGATATAAACAGCTTTTTATAAGGTAAAAATAATAAAACAAGGTCTTTGTCTGCAATTATTAGACGTTTTTTATTATTGCCATTAGTGATTGTCTCAATTTCGGCTAAAAGAATTGACAAAATCCTACACACTGTGCCTTTAAAGAGCTTTCATGCTCCATCTGAAGCTAAATAGTCAACGAACGATGACGCAGTTGTTTGATGTTAATTTTCAATTCAATTCAGTTTATTTATATAGCGCCAAATCACAACAGATGTTGTCTCAGGGCACTGTACATAAAAAGAACAATCTGCACACTTTTCATATCCCATGATAGGGCTGCACAATATATTTCAATTTTTTGTCATCGTGATAACAGCCTGTGCAAAATATTGCCCAAAAATTGCTTAAACTGCAATAAATGGTTGGTTCAAATACAGCGTGTGCATTTATCAGGAGGCTTCACTCCAAAAGAAAAAAAAGGAGAGAAAATAGTCTCCATTCCAACATCTACTTAGCCTGGCCCTTGCATTCCTACGCAGTTTCACACAATTCTAGTTTCCCTTCTCTGCTCCGTCTGGGACCTCTCCCATAGACAAGGATTTCTTCAGGAGAATTATTGTCTGAGCCAATCAGAGAACAGAACGTCAATTTTCTGTGCAGTGTCTTTTTGTAGTTTATTTCACCTGGGCCAATCAGCAAACAGAAGGCGGAGTTTTGAATGATGTCGATTTTTTGCACAGTTTCTGCTAGTTAGTTTAGCATACGGCAGTGGAGGAAGTGAATGAAGCCAGTCTGTGTTGATAAGGCTTCCAAATTAAAATAAATTTGTCTGACAAAGCAGCAGCTCTCTCTCAGTCATCTCGTTTGGCACGGTACTTTTTTCCTCTCAGTAGGGCTGTTTACAGCGCACGCAATTTCCCGTTAGCTTCTTAGCTTAGCCTCCTTCACAGTGGAGCTGGCATGCACATACGTAGCGGCCAACTGATCCAATCATCTTAAACTTCAATAGAGGCCACGTCTCCAGCAAGAATCGCTTCTCTATAGCCGAGAGTCCAGACCCTCGTACGAAGCAAAGCGAAGGACAAGGGTTTGGTTTTAACCAGGCTAACATCATCTATTACTTTGGTCACAAATCTGGCAACCCCACACTTCTCAGCAGATGAATTGCTTTGTGCAAAATGTCTCTGCTTTCTCCATGCATGAGTTTTTGACCATTTGGTTATCTTTTTAAATGTTTGCTTTTAGGTATAAAAGTCAGATTCTGGAAGCAGAGTAGATGAAGCAAAATGCTGCCATAGCTGTTCGAGTGCTCTCAGCATATAAAAACACATTCACTAACCTCTGACCAATCGCACAATAGAAAGAAAGAACTGAATTATGGACATCTGCAACACAAATCGCACAGTTAAATGATACGTAAACATAGTCCTTTATTTTACATTCCTTTATTATACATTTCATTAGTACTTTTAGATATATACATTTTTTATATTTTAGGATTTTTTCTGAAGTGGCCATAACATGCAGATTAAGCCAATGAAGATTCTCAGTCATCCAGGTCACGATGAAACAGAAAAAGGTTAAAAACAAAACAACTGGACTTTTATTCTGAAGTTGTTGACATTTCACTTCCTATCCAGGAGGTTTTCTCAGTTCAAAGTCTGGAGTCACACTCCACTGAATAAGGATGTAAAACAATCAAATTCATTTAAAACTGAGCTGATAAAATGATTTTCACTGAGCCTCCACAAACTGTCAGACCTTGATTGAAAATAATTGCTAAACACACGATCTTACCCAAACATCTGTAAAAGAGCTAAAGAAGAAAAATGCAACATAATTTTACCTAAATTTTACCTAAAGTTATTAAAGAGAATCATTAAAGTGATGGGTTTAGGTGCCAGGAAGACATAGAAGAAATTAAATCCTGATTTTAAACCATCTGTAAATAATCCCCTCTTGTTTGAAACAAAAGGGTATTTGTGTTAAAACAATCTTACATAATCATAAAGTTCTGATGTGTTGACTCATCTCTGATGCGTGAAGCCAGAGTTCATGGACGGGTCAGCTTCAAAGGTTTGAAGTTCTTGTTTCTGCAGGTCTGAGGATTTCAGGGAAGCTGGACATAAAGTCAGACATTTTAAATCTAAAATGTGAGCTCATTTTGGACTTTTAGATTTTCATTCACCTTCAGCAGCAACATCTCTGCAGTGGTTTTCAGGCTGTTATCAGTCTGAATTATGGTTGTGGAGGAGTTTTGGCCCACTCTTCTTTAGTGTTGTTCCAGTTTAGTGACATTTGCAGGCATTTGTTTCTGCTCAGCTCTCTTGATGTCCCATCATCAGGTTAAGGTCCAGACCTTGGACTATTGCAGCATCATGACTTTTTTTTTTTCTCATAGTTGTTCTGTTGTAAATGTTCTGCTGTGATTGGGTCCATTGTTCTGTTTGGTCCAGGTCTGTCACACAGATAGTCCCAAATTTGACTTTAGGATGGAAGTCTTCAATCCTGTTCCTCGTGACCCACTGTCCTGCATGTTTTAGCTGTTTCCCTGCTTCAACACACCTGATTCAAGTCATTTATTTACTTATTCTGAATGCCATCACATTTAGCAGAAGACTGTCAATCACTCTTTCACTTGGTAAAGTGTGTTGAAGCAGAGAAACGTCTAAAACAGGGGTCTCCAACCAGTAGCTCGTGAGCTCATTTAAAGTAGCTCTTTAGCGCTTATGAAAAATTAGGAGAAGCAAAATTTCATTTGTCACTGGCCAAACAATCTTTCATTTAATTCCAATCAATCTATACAGGTGCTGGTCATAAAATTAGAATATCATGAAAAAGTAGATTTATTTCAGTAATTCCATTTAAAAAGGGCGGCACGACGGCTCAGTGGTTAGCACCGACGCCTCACAGCAAGAAGGTCCTGGGTTCGATCCCCGGTTCGGACCTGGGGTCTTTCTGTGCGGAGTTTGCATGTTCTCCTCGTGTTTGCGTGGGTTTTCTCCGGGTACTCCGGTTTCCCCCACAACACAAAAACATGTACAATAGG